AAAAATTGCTGGAGTGGAAATTCTTGGCAAAAAGTGAAGCCGTGCCAACTGTAAGATGGCAGCTGCGGCAGCTATCTTACAAGGGGCATGATGAGATGTGGGCTTTCGCTGGTTATGGAAAAGCGTTTTCTTCGCACGCCCAACGAGTTTAACATGGCAACCTTTCGGGTTATGTAGTGCTCAAAGTACGCCTTTGTGTTACTAGTTTTCTTTAGTAAGCCTGGCATTCAAAGAAATTCCATTGGAGATTAAGTCACCGATTGTAGTCTCTGCGAAATATTTCTTCGGGAACAACTATCTTTTAAAGTTCAATTACCGTTGCCTTTAGATTAGCAAATCAAGGCCATTTGATGTGTAAGTGGGCACCACCGGAAAACAGTATGTTTCTGAGATCTTTGGAGGGCGAAACCTAGCTTGACTACTGCTGGCAAAGGATTGCAGGAGCTCCACTCCAGCAAATTTTTAAAGCTCCTTGATGTACTCTCCACTTCTTTTTTGTCTCCTCCCTAACTTCGTTTTGCGCAGCAATCGTGGCGCAATTTTTTCCAGTCATGAAGTAAATCAGTTGTTTTCCGTTTTACAATGTAGCAGCATCTTTATTCCCCTGCCTCTCTGCTACACACTCAAAAGTTCACATGAGAGTGTCTAAAAGACGACTTATTTGGAGACTGGAAAGCCTAAATGAGTTCAAACTCTGCGGGGGCAGCCTGCAATGCATGCAGGTGCGAAATTGTTGCAAAATAGGCCGACCTGGTCAGTAATGTCGAAAAGAAAATACATCTTTCTGCAACTGAATTTATCTGTTCGAAGAAACAAACAGCCCTTACACTTACTATGAAGCATGAAGACACCAGCGCTGCAGTTTACAATAGCTGTGTTTGTCACCACGCATTGCTCCATTCTCTCCAGCGATCATTTCTTCCGGATGTGCAGAAACTGTGCGCGCAAAACGAAGACAGCATAACGCGTGCTGTTATGACTATGAATGCACTAATTCACTTCAGGCAAAAATAGGCACATAGATAGCCTGTACAGTGAGTCAAGCACTCTTTAAGGCTCAAGAAGCGCATATCAAAGCGGAGTGAAATCCCAAATGGACTAGATGCGCCAAACGTGGGCAATGACAATATTGAACTCGTCTAGGTCTAGACGTTATAAAGACTTGCTTGTGTTCATTTGCATCACGAAAACGTGATAGCTGATAAATATTTTCTTTGAAACATGTAGGGGTTGATCAACGGGCTTAATGTCCTGAAATCACCATATAATTAGAAGAGAAGTGGTAGTAGAGGGCTCCGAAAACTTCGACCACCTGTGGCACCTGCAGCTTACAGCGCTGCTTCGTTTAGCGTTGCTGATCGTGACGGCATTCTCAGCACGATGCGTATTTTAACTTAAGATGTTAAAACTTATTCGTAATAATTGAAAAGCCGTTTAGAAGAGGCAGTTTTCGTTGCGCGATCTGGATCACCAAGAAGTGATTGTACAAACTCATTCAGCTCCAAGAGGTTATACAGTTTTCTGTCTACTCCTAAACAGAAATTCCTTACTTTCGAAGTCTGCTCCAAATATTAAACTGGGTGTGTCATTGTCGCGCTATGCATTTTGGAGTGTCCTGTTCCGGTAACTTTGTCAATTTGGCTAAGTTTAGCAGCCAACACTGTAAGATGCAAAGCAGCACAGTCAAAAATTACACTTTAGGCATTTTTCAGCGCATTCTGTTTGCCCACAGTTGCTTTTTCAGAACAGCACGACTGTGTTTGTATAATAGCTTGTGAAACTTAGGTGGCACTGACAATGTCGCTTCAAACATCTTTTTTGCACTGGTATTTAGCGTAATATGTTTTGGTTGCAAGTAAGGTACTTGCTTTTTGGCCTACAGCTTGCAGACATTCGTCATGCTTCTCATTCACTGGTCATAAGTTCATTAAGCTCATGTTATTAAAAACTTCCTGTTTCAAATATGTCATATGTTGTCATAAAGCATAATATACAAGCATAAGAATACAAATCTTCAGCACTGAATACAGACACTCACACTTTTACATCACAATAATAAAGCAATTCATTGTCAACTATACGCAGTGGCACGTGGGAGTAGAAATACAAAGCCATTTCACAGTACCGTTTCGTCCCTACACATCCTCGCGAGTACACTACTTTAGACCCTGAAGTAATCTTGAAAATACTTCATGTGAAGTAACTTCTGCTACTTCAGAAGGCAACCTATTTCACCGCGCTATCGTCCTGGAAAAAATGACATATGGCGTCACGTAGTACGTAATCTCATTACAAGTGGGTAGCTGAACAATATTTCCTTGTATAGTAACTGAAGGCATCAATTCTGCGAGAATGAGACCTACGCTATCATTGGAGGTAAGAAGTGTACACTTAAAGGCCCTGCAACATTTTTTGAGCATGATCAGAAAACACTGCTGATTCGCAGTAGAGGCTCCCGAGAACACGCGATCCAAATGTTATAGCACCGCACGTGGCCGAAAATTCACAATAAATTATAAAAGTCGGCTGAAAATTGCTTTCTCTTCCCTCGACAAATGACGGAAGACGCTCAAAAACCACTCGTAAAATGCCTATCTATCAGCCATTGGCTGATTTTAACATGGCGCCCTCGGTCGTTACAGAGATCACCACGGGAGGCCGTCTCTTGTCCACACGTGCGTGCGTGATTGCACTCAAAAAGCCGCGTGTTCGATAAAAAAAAAGGAAAAAGTGCTAAAGGTCACGAGGCGCACGTGACATATTTTGTTTGCCCCTCCCGTTTCTCGCTGCTTAGCATCCAGCGCTTTCCTCGAGACAAGAAAAGAGAGAATGCAATCGGAGCGTGTGAGAAACGTTTGTAACTATGCTTGTGCTGGATAGATTCTTAGAATTTTTGCGGCGTTGAATTTGTGAAGCAATTAGCTCTTCCATTCACTCAATTCCATGGTTACTCAAAAAAGTGTTTCAGGGCCCTTTTAAGGACTTGTTTATTGTTAGACACAACAATATTGTTATCTAATATAACGTCATGCCAAGGAAAGCACAGTTGATTCATTTTATAAGAGACATGCTCCGGAAAGCAGTTCCTGCCTTTTATATGAGATGTCTCTCATAAGCAGGGTACCAATAGATGCCTGTTCTTATCTACGCATATTTTACTGTAGACACACTGGTGTCTCGTATACACATGTGTCTCCTATATTAGTGTCTTTATAGAGAAGTTTGACTGTTAGAGGATGTTCTATGAGGTTTTAGTAAGCATTTCCACAGTTTTATGTGGGCTCGTACTGCTCCCATTCGAAACTAGAACTGTGTACTGGCAACGGTCTGTGTTAGGTTTTCCGTTACAAAGCACAGTCGTGTTTACCGGCACACTAGTTAGCTTAGCATTTGTAGTGACATCAAACTATTTCTTAAACCCCGACAACTGGCAAACATTAGTGTTCGTGTTAAAGAGAGGAAAACAAAAGAATTACTACGTGCTAATGATAATTGCGATATTGTTCAATTCGAAGAGTTGAATGGTAGAAATTTTGCAAACATTTTTGCCAAAGTATTTTTTATGCGCAGGTTGACATCAGTGTCGTTATCACCGCTATTTTCTCTTAAGCAAGTTCAGCATAAGGCCTTTGTGAAACACCAGTCATTGCAGCATGACTGTTGTTTTGTGATGCCGAAAATAAGTTTTTCAGAAACCAATGCCTGGACGAAGCTAAAATATTTTCTATTGTGTCGTTTCTTCTGTATCCCTTCTGCAGAGAGCTAAAATAAAATAAAAAGATCCGGCGTGCCGGATCGACAGCTTGTCATGCTTTTACTGGCATGTCAGCATAGTGTGTAGGAGAAAGACACGAAGCAACATAGCTTATGGTTGTTCGCTGTGTGGCTTGCCACTATACTGTCAGATCCTTTATGGTGAAAGATTGGTACCTTGCACTTCGAACATTTCACGTTCTGCTGTGGTTCACTGCAGTGGCGCCCGCGTAAGAGTTTATTTTTACGTAGTCCTATTCTCCACAAGAATTTCAATGCCACCACAACAGCGCAACTTTGTATTAGTCATGTTTTTTTGCAGTCTGGGCCCATCATACTTTTTTGATGCATGACACGTTGAAGGTGGAGTACGATACACAAAGCATGGTATAAACGAACGTCTTCCTCGTCAATTTTTTTTTGCAGCCACTGTGTTTTCTTCCTTTGTTTCACCTGTGATTTTTGTTCCTTTTTCTTACTATTTATATCGACCTTGATCCATGTTTACTCACTATCGCTGCTACTCTCCTATGCTGATGTCGTCCCCCACCCCTGATTTCCTAGGGGGTTTGTCAACTCTACCACACTGCTGACAGACGTCACGCCCACCATCGTGTTCGCGGAGGAACTGCTTTTTTAGATGCAAAGCAACTTATGGTCGAGTTCAATCTCATTTGCGGCTAACCACGCTTACTACGCATGCGTGCCTCTTCCTTCTCCATGTTCTCCCTCGGTCATCTCGCAACGCCGACGCGAGCAGCGCCTGCTAGCCTGCTTTCGCTTCCCCTTTTTTTAAGCATCCCTCACCATGGCATGTACACCCCATTGCGCATGCGTACCCCCTCCCCCTTACTCCTTGCCTATGCTCGTCCTTCGCAAAGACGACGCAGAAAGCAAGTCTCTGTGTTCAATCCGACTCTTCTGTTTCTTAGTGGCCATTAGCAGTGATTGGTGTGCTCCATTAGGACATGCCGGTCCATGGACTACTGCATGCTTGCACCTGCCTCGGTATTTCTCCTGCGCAACGCTGTGGTGAGCGCCAGCGTCAACGCCGCTGCCAGTGTAAGCGTTAGCACCCGCTTCTTTGCATCTAAACAGGGCTTTGTTTTGGTGAGGGAAGCTGTAACTGTTTTGTCTCTTGTGCACCTCTATGTTCACCAGGATTGGCGGCTGCTTTTTCAGGACTCGTGGCGAGTTGGCCGAAAGCAGCAGACGAAACAGCCCAACGGCAGCAGTGAGCGCCAGAATCGACGGGCACGCTGGAAGAACACGAAACCATGGAAGGTGACGGAGGCAACAATCAAACAAACCTCATCATCAACTACCTTCCGCAGAACCTGACAGATGAAGAGTTTCGGGGAATTTTTACCAGCATTGGTCCCATTAGGTCTTCGAAGATAGTGCGCCACAAGGCATCCGGCTACAGCTATGGCTTTGGATTTGTCGACTATCAGAGAGCAGGCGACGCAGCGCGGGCGGTCGAGTCGCTCAATGGTTTTGAGCTGCAGAACAAGAAGATCAAGGTGGCATACGCTAGACCGAGTGGCCAGACCATCAAGCGCGCCAACCTCTACATTCGTGGCATCCCCAAGCACTTCCCACCTGAGGAGGTTGAGAAACTGTTTGCAGACTTCGGCCAGCTTATTCAGTTTCGAGTGCTGAAGGACGACGACGGACTGAGTAACAAGGGGGTGGCGTTTGCTCTGTATGATCTGCGTAAAAATGCTGAGGCTGCCATGTCAGCCCTGAATGGCCAGACACTTCCAGGCGCCACTGAGCCGCTTCTTATTCAGTTCACTGTAGACAGGACCAAGAAGCTGCGACCTCCTGGGGGTCGGGGACCCCATGGTCAGAAGACCGGGCCCTCGAGCACCAGTTGCGGAGGCCCCGTGTGCGGCGCTCATGATTGTTACTGTTACAGCCCATCGACGGGCTTCCACCAGTACCCGACGGAAGACATGGATTTCGCTCCCATAGCAGCCGACGCAGCTGGACATGTACTCTTTGTCTACAACATTGATACCGATACAGACGAAACTTCGCTGTGGCAACTTTTCACCCAGTATGGCATGGTGACCAGTGTGAACATCATCCGAGACAGAGCCGTGGGCCTCTCTAAAAATTTTGGTTTCGTTACCATGGCCAACTACCTGGACTGTGTGCGGGCCATCGAGGCTTTAAATGGTTTATACTACACGGGCCGACCACTGCAAGTCTCCTTGAAGCAACCCAACTAGAAGTGATAGCTAGGCTGACAGTCGTGATCATCAGACGGTTGCAAGGGGCATCAACTGCAATTCTGCAAGTCAGGTCAGGGACCTTAATTTTATTGGTAGCCACACTTATTGGATCGAAAAGGCTTTCTCAACTGTTTGCAGGACTCTGGTGTGCGCTTCTTGCAACACAAGAACTGTGTCTATGTCTTGTTGGTGAGTGGCAGTGTTACGTGCCTCCACCATATGTTATTTTTTTCCTATTCATTGTTGCATTTTTTCTGAGAACTGCTCTGGATTGGCAAACGCTGCCCCATATCGCCTCTGTGCTAAATATGGTATGACTGGTCACCTTAAGAGACTGGTAGCATTTTTGTGGGGATGGTCTTGAGTGTACAGGATTTTGGTTTTTTTTCTGCTTGTGAATTGTGACTCATTAAACACCAACGCGACATGTCTACTGCATGTTGTCTTGCTCAATGAAGTTTTCCTTGTTAGCAGAAGGAACAGAATGTGCCCCCTTCATCTTGAGGGTATTGTAAGTCACTGTGGCATTTCCTGCTTTTTTTGGTACGTAGACATTGCTTCAATCCATGCTCTATTATTTGGTTTTCTGGTTTTAAAGTTTTATAATTAGTGTGTCTGAGTGTGTGTATGTTGTTCAGTCATTGTTTTTTTAGATTCGTGAATGTGCTAAGTTAGCAATAAGCCTGTGCATCCATTGCCTTTTGCTTAACTGAATTTTGGGGAAAATGGGCACTTCCTTTTTCCTTGTTCAACTTTTCTTCCTTCAAAAAAGACACGGTGATGGTCTCGAGTTTTTTGGTTTTGTTTTCTGCCTATGAGTTTTGACTTATTACAACAATGCGACTTGTGTGCTGCATCTTGTCTTACTCAATTAGGTTTGCCTTGATAGCAGAAGGGTCAAGTTGTGCCCCATTCATCTTGTGGGGTTTGTAAGACATTGTTGCATCACCTGTTTTTTTCTGGACCGTAGATACTGTTACATTCCTTGCTTTCTTATTCTACGTTTTGCTGGTTTAAAGTTTGAATCTTAGTGTGTGTGAGTCGGTGCATGTGGTTGAGACTTTTTTTTTTATGTCTGAATGCACACGGAGTTAGCAAAAAAGGGAGCGGAGCATTTTCGAGAGTAAGCGTGCTCCCTCCACCGATCATTAATGCACTGGCTTGTTTGGCGAATGTAACAGAGCCCACAAGTAAACAAAACCTTGTGTACAATCGCTAAAACTGATCCAACATAGCACGTAGCGTGTTTCTTAGTGAATACCTTTTTTCTTGGTGCACACTTCTTTGTGCATGCTTCTTTTTGTTGTCTGTGTTTATTAGTGCATGCTTCTTTCTGTTGTCTGTTGGCCGTATGAGCCACGCTCAAAGAAAATCCTTATGTCTTCTATATGCGCTCATTCTAAGCTAACCAAGCGAAGCGTCGCTTTTTCCTGCCTGAAGGCCGCTCTAGCTTGCTCTGGTCACCACCAGATAGAATGCGGTTTTTCGCACCAAGTTCACCGCCTTCAACAAGCAGGTTTTCTTAATCCCCTGCCAACTTCCACCTTCGAGAATCTCCTAACGTCACGAGTGTCTAATAAGGAACAAATCAACAGCCAACTCAACAAGCCTCATTCCAGCACGGCTGCCATTCCCTACGTACTCTAGGTTTCCCATAGGCTAAAGAAACTCGCTGGCAAAATATGTATAAGAGTTGTGTACTGCGATAGCGACAAGCTCGCTGGGCTATGTCGCAGGGTCAACGGCGAAGGACCTAAGATAGAAGCATGCACTAAGAAGCACGCTACGCGCTATGTTGAATGTATTTAGTGATTATATACAAGATATTGTTTACTTGTGGGCTGTTACATTTGCAAACAGGCAAATGCATAAAATATCGGTTGAGGTAGGACGCTTATTTTCTAAAAGGCTCCGTTCCCAGCCACCAGGTGGACCATTGTTAAAGAGTGGTTGTGAGGTGATTCTTGACAAGTGTGTTAACATGGGGCGGTTTAAAAATCAGCGCGAGCGCGATATTAGCGAAGCCTTCCACATTAAACCACTTGGTGCTTCCTGTGTTAGCGTACCCTCAATTTCTTTTTACGGCTGTGAAATTAGTGATCTGGGGTCCACTGATGTGACTGATTCTTGATTAGGTAGGGCGTTTGGCGCATGTATGTGCGATTTTACTTATGTTACATGGTTACACGCAGATTCTGTTTTCCATTATATTGCAGTTTTCTTTATATAAACTTACTTTGTTAGTTCAGCGCTCGGTTTTCGCCTCTTCTATCACGTCCTGCCGTTTGCGCTGTTGAGCACTTTCTTCTTCTACCAAAGAGCGGATAAGTGAAAAAAAAGAAAGAAAGATGACAATAAAAAGAGCGAGGAAAAATCTTGAACGTTCCACGGTTCATTGTGATATGCGAGTAGCTTCGTGAGTGTGTATCTTCTTAGAAGTGTTGCGTTCAGGGTTGTTGGCTGGTGGTCCTTTTATTGTAGATGGTGTCTGGTTCAGGTAAGGGGCTTACGTGCCGTAGAAGTTTTTTTGTCTCACCGACCGTTACTAATCAGGCATCGAAGACGACGTCCCGAGACTCCAGGGAGGCGGCGCGGAAGAAAAGGTTTCTCCAGGCACTGTCTTGCTTTGAAAAGGTACCAGGCAGTGTTGGCGAAATACGCAAAGCGGCGTTTAAAGTGCATACTATCTTGTTCAGAGAATTTTGTTTGGGGGTTTCTAGTTGTGTATGCGATGGCTGTTCGACATGTCGGGCTTAGAACCATTGATCTGTTAGTAAGAGAGAGAGAGAATGTAACGACAGCAGTACATTAGGAAGGGTAATTACACTAAAACACATATTTGCAACTGTCCAGTCCTCGTCGCCGTGACAGTGCTGCGAAACCGTGAAATATCATGAATACAATCATATGAGTTCTATATATATATATATATATATATATATATATATATATATATATATATATTATATATATATATATATATATATATATATATATATACACAAGTGGTGGAGAGTGCTTTCCGGTCCCTGGTCCTCTTTCTTCAGCGCTTTTTTGTTATCTTCGACTACGTACCATCCCTGGAGCTCCGGTCGGGTCGCCGTCTGCGCAGTCAGCTTGCGGTCATGTCGGAAGACGAGCACAACAACACGGCTTCATCCACCCCGCCTGCACCCCTGGGCATGCCTTCTTGGACTGTCACCGCCCCTTAAAAAGATCCACCGATGTTCGCCGGCCTTCGCGGTGAAGACGTTGAAGACTGGTTGGATGAGTACGACCGTGTGAGTGCGCTTAACTATTGGAATGATTCTGTGAAGCTGTCCAACGCACCGTTCTATCTCACGGGTGTCGCTAAGACACGTTTTCTGAACCATCAGCTGGATTTCCCAGACTGGCCTACCTTTAAGCAGCAGCTCCATCAGATATTTGCCAACCCTTCTGTACGTGCAGACATCGCCAAACGGAAGCTTGCTGAACGTGTCCAGCTCTCTGGCGAGTCCTATGCTTCGTACATTGAAGATGTCCTCACCCTCTGCCGTCGCGTTGACAGCTCGATGGTGGAGCATCACCGCGTTCGCCACTTGCTCAAGGGCATCGGCGCCATCGCATTTAACGCTGTGGCGGCAAAGAACTCGACCTTGGTCGCCGATATCATCAGTACTTAACAGCGACTTGATGACCTTCCACTGATACTTTTACAACTTGAAACAGCAGATATCAGGCCAACGCATAAAGGTGAGCTCCTTGCGCTGATACTGTCCATGATCCGCGAAGAGCTGCAACTCCAGGCCAGCTCGTCATCTTCTGAGCTCCGCATGACGCCTTCTGCAGGCAGCCTCCGCAACATTGTGAGGGAGAAAGTAGCGTCCATGACGTGTAAGCAAGTCCCGACCTCGCATACCACTCCAAAACCGACGTACGCTGAGGTGGTTGCAGCGTCACCTCCTCAGCAGTCACCGCAGTATGGGTCAACTATACAGCCTTCACTGAATGTCCTCGCCCCAAGAGCAACGGCCACTTCTTTTCAAGCCTGGAGTCCATCTAGACCAATTTGCTATTACTGCAGAATACGCGGCCCCATCTCACGGTTCTGTCGTCGACGTCAACAAGACAAAAGGCGTGCTATGGTGACTTCGAGAGGGATGAGTATGCCCCTGCTCCACAATATAGTCACCCATACCAACTGTACCAACGCCGCTCACTCTCTTCACAGCACTTTGATGCAGTCAGTACCTTCCGCTCCTCGCGCCGTCGCTCCCCGTCCCCTATGCGCCGTTCCTCGTCACCACTTCGTCCTGCTACCATGCCGTCTGACCATCGCCCGGAAAACAAAACAGTGCAGCTTCAGAAGGGAAAGCTGCATTTTGCGGACTGCATCGAACTCCTCCGGAACGCCCCTCAAATGTACTTTCAGTGTTTGTTGAGGGTATATGAACTGAAGCCTTGGTGGACACAGGTGCATCGCTCTCATTTATTAGTGTGGACTTGTGTTCCCATATGCGCAAAGTGAAGACACCGTATGAGGGCCCGCCCCTTCGCTGTGCTAATGCGGTCTTTGTTCAGCCTTCTGGTGTTTGCCCAGCAAGAGTTTTTATTGAGGGCATCCTTCACTATATACAGTTCCTCGTTCTGTCATCGTGTACCAATGCACTCATTTTAGGATGAGACTTTCTCTCCTCAGCTTCAGCCGTGATATCTTGCCTTCAGAGGGTCATCCGCATGTCAGATACTGCACTCTCGTCTGATAACTATGCTCATAACCAGCGTTTCATCACCGCTGATGATTGTTTTATTCCTCTAGGTATTGAGCATATTCTGACCCTGATATCAGATAATATCGGTACTGTTGATGTGTTCCTGGCCCCGTGTGGACGCTACATCTCTGGTGGACTTACCATCACTCCTACCCTGGTGCGCTTTCGTGATGACAGAGCATTAGTTATGGCAGTTAACCCCACTTCGTTGCCTGTTGCACTGCCCCAGGGCACCAGTGTGGT